CAAATTAAAATGGAGGACAAAATAACTGTTGGGTCATTCCTTCGACGAAGTTCAGATTCATGTTCACATTTTTAAATATGAAAATAATATTGGTTAGTTTTACACTTTTTTTAATGCTTTTGAAAGAAGTCTCTTGTGCTCACCAATGCATTTATTTGATGAAAAATACAGTAAAAACAGTAATAATGCGAAATATTTACAATTTAAAATACCCGTTTTCTATTTAATGTATTTTAAAATGTAATTTATTCCTGTGATGCAAAGCTGAATTTTCAGCATCATTACTCCAGTCTTCAGTGTCACATGATATTTAAAAAATCTTAAAAATCATTCTAATATGCTGATTTTCTGCTCAAGAAACATGTATTGTTATTAGCAATGTTAAAAACAGTTTCAACAATTTTATTTGGAAATGTGATGCATTATGTTCAGGATTTGTTGATGAATAGAAAGTTCATAAGAACAGCATATTGGACATTGAACTCTTTCTGACCCAAAACTTTTGTATGGTAGCGTATTAGAAATCATTTTTAATTACTTTGGTTTGAGAAAAATAAAAATATCTACTGATCTTTCTTTGGGAAAATCGTTTTAATTTACAGGCTTTTCTGTGTCCTCAATATCCCTGTCGATCCTGTTAGTCTTTTGTAAAATCCCTTTAACTAAAAGCCAGTTCCTTAATAACATTATCTTCCAGGTAGTGACATCATTTTAATGGGAAAACAACAGCTCAAACATGCACCAGCAATGGATTTTATTTATGTGTTGTTACTTTTTTTGTGTAACTTAAAAAAATTCAATCCTGTTTGATAAAATTACAGAAATCATAATGATATTATAAATAAAAAAAACCTCTAAAGATGGTTAAAAATATCCACATTAACTATTCAAAATATAAAAATTAAATATTAACATTGACACCCTCATGCAAGCCAACTTTCAATCCCTCACTAATTTTACCATCTTTGTCTTTGTGTAAATAATCACATTTGACCAGAGCCTAAATATGAAAGTCTGTGACACTATGGCAATATTGTCTTAGTTAGGATAGTTCACCCAATCCTCTTTTTTTATGAACTGGCAATGAACTATTGTCTCATCATTTACTCACCCTTCAAGTTGTTCCAAACATGTATGAGTTTCGTTCTTCTGCTGAACACAAAAGCAGATATTTTGAAGAATCCCGGCCTGGTAACCAAAACTGGTTGATAGGCCCCATCAACCTCCATATGAAAAAAAATAATAATACTATGGAAGTCAAATGGGACCCATCAACTGTTTGGTTATGGACATTCTTCAAAATATCTTCTTTATACAGGTTTTCTACATATAGCCTAGGTTTGCTTCATACAATTCATACAGGTTTGGAACAACTTGAGGGTGAGTAAATGATGACAGAATTTTCATTTTTGGGTGAACTATCCCTTTAAAAGACAAACTTTTTTATGTTACAGAGTTAAAAGAATGCTGCATAACAGGAGTGACCCAGTAAAAATGTGTATAATAAAAAATATCAATCTGGTGTCTCATTTGATCATTTGAAAAAAAAAGTATTTCTTGGAAACCCATATGCAAATTAGCTCAGTCAAATGATGGAAACGCACAAAGAACCGGAAACAAAAAGCGCATGGAACCACAGGGTCATTCCCAGCCACAGAGGTCAAGGACTGAGCTTGAATCTGTCAGACAAACATAAAGCTGCCCAGCCAAGAGTATCCACTGCCAAGTGCCTATCACTGCTGACCTTCTGGTGAAATGAGAGAGTGAATTCAATTCAGCCAGTCAAAATGGTCTGGGGGGCTGATAGTCTGAACACCTGACTAATCCAGGGCAACTGCGACAACTAAACCTTCTGTCTGGTGTGATCACATTTCACACAGAGGGCATCAAAATATAGGACAAGAAGAGAAGATAGTATACGCACAACTGTGAACTCAAAAGCTGGGGTTTGTGCCGAGAGCCACATGTCTCCTGAACACATAAAAAAAAAAAAACATATCAGAGGCGCCTGTTATGAGATTTGGATCGAATTGTTTGCAGACGTGAACAATAAAGATGGTGATTACGACACGCACAATACTAGCATACAACATGCAGTACGGTGAAGTTCTCCTCTCACAGATTTGAGAAACTAACTGATTATTATTTATTAGAACTAATTATTAATATATAACAACTAAAATGATTATTAATTTTAGCCAAAGTGATTGTCAGTACACTTCTTATGGGAACAGTAACCATGGAGTAACCTGATGTTAAAGTTCTGCCATCATTTACACACGTTCACGTCGTTCCAAACCGACATGAATTTTTTTTTTCAAACTAATATTTGCATAAAATAAATGGGGACTGGAGCTATAAAGCTCCAAAAAATACAAAAAAAAGCACCATAAAATGAATCCATACGACTTCTGCATTAGGCCTATATTCTAAGTTTTCTGCAACCATATGATAGTTTTGTTTGGGAACAGATCAAAATTTTTTAGTTATTTACTACAAATTTCCATTCTGGCTCCGAAATATTTTTTGCACTGCGTACATTTAAATTAATTGACTTAACAAATGACATGCAGAGAACCAGTTATTTTTGACTTCACTGACGAGTTGGATTAATATTCACATTAATTAATTATATGATATTTCAAGGTGCTTTATGTCATTTTGAAGCTCGACTCGACACCCCTCATGTCCATTCACTATCATATGGAAAAGATAAGCATTGACAAAATTCTGCTAAATATATTTTTGCATTCCACATAGGACAGGAAAACATTAGGGTTACGGGGAGTAAACGATGACAGTATTTTCATTTTTGGGTGAACTGTCCCTTTAAATGCATTGCTCAAAGGAACAATGGAGACAGTTCACGGTTCACCTGTTCTCTGCTGTAAAGACCAAATTGGACCAGCATGAATTTCATAGATTGGTGCTTGTCTAGATGGTGGACCAGACCAGTATAACTATACTGTTAAGCAAAAACAATGCTGGTCAACCAGTATTGTCTTTCTAATAAAGCTGGTTAACCAAGGGAGGCTTGCTTTGTTAAGCTAGTTAAAATCCAGGTACGGACACTAGCATTCAGGCATCTAAAGGAACACATCCTGGTCTTTTAGGACAGTGGTTTGAACCTACAATCTATAACCCCAACACCACATCACCCCAAAGAATCCCAATGTCTTAAGCATGTTGGACCAGAATGCATCAGTTATGGTCTTTCAAACAATGCACTATCCATCTAAACCCTGAGTTTTGATAAAATACAACACATTATGCAAAATGTGAACACAATTAGATCAGTTACCACAACAACATGTATGAACTGCCACTTGGACAAGACTTGAAGTACATTGTTGCATCAGCTGAGACTAAAAACAACAGTGATAGATACAAAAATAGCTGACATGACGAGCTCAACTGTTTAAAGAGCTAAACCACATTAATTACGGATACGAAAAACAATTATCAGCTACTGTCGAATGAAATATAAAAAAGACAGTGTAAATAACGCTTACCAAACGATTCGATATTCTCTCTTCCTTCTGTCATTCACGCCCAGCAGATCAACCCACTGCCTGCCCCCCGCAAGGCTCTTTAAACCTGCTGTCTATCAGAAAGGACGTGAATCCTCCGCTTTATTATCAACCATATCCTGTATTTACTTCCACAAATACACACTTTTGAATTAAATATAACTAAATGCCACCCGGCAAAGAGGAGTTACGCAATGCGAGGACGAAATGCCGGTTAATCTCGCGCTGGAGGGTGTTTATAGTAGGGTAGGTTGCCGCTCCGCAAGCTGTTGCCATGAAAAATAGCGGCGTTCGGTTTCGGGAATGCGCGTACAGCGGAGGATTTTACGCATACGGCGTAGAGACGTGACGTCATGACGTTTATATCATAAGGGTCCGTTATGTCTAGGTTTTGTTTTTGCGATATTATTTACCATTACTGCATCAGGGTTATTACCGTTAAATAAAACTATTATACCATTTTACCAATGAATCCTGAAGGTACCAAAAAAATATTAAGCAGCACAACTGTTTCCAACATTTATATTAATAAATCATATAATAATGATTTCTGATTGATCATGTGACACTGAAGACTGGAGTAATGGCTGATGAAAATTCAATTTTGCATCAGAGGAATAAATTACATTTTAAAATACATTCAAATAATAGAAAACCACTACTTTAAATTGTAATAATATTTCAGAATATTACTGTTTTTATGAATTTTTAATCAAATAAATGCAGGCTCGATGAGCATAAGAGACTTCTTTAAAAAAAAATAAAAAATAGCAATGTTTTCAAACTTTTGAAAGGCATACTGTATGTATATGATGCAAAACTTAGACTTATTTCAGTAATTGTCATTTAGTTTAATTGGAAATAAAATGAATAACAAATAAAACTCTGAACACTGAAATAAAAAGAAATTAAACCTAAAATAGTAATATTAAAAAATGAAAATAAAAATGACAAAAGCACATAATAAATGGACTAAAATAGATTTTTTTTTTTAAAACTAAAATTAAAACTGTGTATAAAAATAAAAACTAATTCAAAATATTAATACAAACTACAATTGTATATAAATAACACTACAATAACAATGTATTTAATATTGTATTTTTTTTTCTTTTATTGGAAATATTCTACCATTCAAATTATTGAACTTAAATTTCTTTTAAATTATATATATATATATATATATATATATATATATATATATATATATATATATATATATATATATATATATATATATATATATAGTGCAAGTCGGGTGGAAAGCAGAACAGCATGCATCACATACCTCCTCTTTCAGGCCAAGCCACAGCCATGGAGTCCAAGGTTTTTAAAGTTTAAACAACTCTTGGCTATGCATGTAAGATCATGCTGGAGTCCACAATCCAGACTCTCAAGGCTGTTAAGACGGGAATAGTGAAGTGAAGGGAACACAATTATAATGGGAATACTTTACCATTTTTCACACTATTTTTAATTGATCATTTTATGTTTATGGAAAGATTATAAACAAATCATTTAGAACAGTTTTGACTTAAATTTCAATCATATTGCTTGAGAAGGCTTGGAATATACAGTAGCACACGAGTTTAATGGACCCATTCTTAAATACTTTTACTGTGTCATTTGGAGCTTGACAAGCCCATCACAAACCTACAACAAAAGCACACTGAAACCACAGCGCTTTTTTCAAAAAGAGTTTTTATTACAATTCAAAGCAAATCAAAGTCTTCTCTCTTGTCTTAACTCTGAAAGGATGGAGGACAGAGAAGTCACTTTCTTCTTCAACCTTCTAATCCTGGCGCTCTGCAGTTTCAACCGTTTCCTGTAGTTTGTAAGCTCGGCATTGGCCAAGTTTAAACTGTTCTGCAGCTTCTCTGGCGATTCGGCCATGTAGTAGGTGTGATCCAACGAATGACAAACTGTGTCTGATGGCACAGAAGGATGGCAGGGTAAATGGCTGTATGAAATGTTGCATCGTCCACCGGGATGAATCTCTGATGCCCCATTGCTTTCATCCACAATAACCCTCACAATCTCCTCCACAGCTTCAGCGTTTCTCAATACAACATCCCCACACCTCTCAAGCCTTCGCCTGGTGTGTGGTGGCTTCTTCTGTAAGTGTTTAGGGAAGGAAAAGATGGTGGGAACAGCAGCTGTAGTAAGGCGCACTTTGCCCAGACGGGTTGTAAAGAAACAGTTATCTTCAAAGTGGACAGAACATAGGCGAGAAGAAGGAGTTGGCTTCCACTTGTCCCGCCGGATGTTCACCAGCCACTGCTGCAGCCTGCTCTTATCACCTAAAGGGAAACTGAAGGAGAGATACAGAAAAATAGACAAGTGGAATATATATATATATATATATATATATATATAGAGAGAGAGAGAGAGAGAGAGAGAGAGAGAGAGAGAGAGAGAGAGAGAGAGAGAGAGAGAGAGAGAGAGAGAGAGAGAGAGAGAGAGAGAGAGCCTTATTCAGACTGGATCAAACGATTCACTGAAAGATTCAAAGATTCGATTCAAAAGAAGCATCGCTGAATGCACCTTTATATCGTTACAACTGTTGAAAATGTGATTTAATATAAGATGTGCTGGTTAAAAAAAAAAAAATCTGTTTTAACAAATAATCAGTTTACTTGTTGCTAATAAGAACATCATCCAGCGGAAAACGTTTTTATATATATATATTGGCAGAGAGAAATCATAAATAATAGTCAAATCATTCATTCATAAATATAACTTACCGAAAGAAATTTACACTACATCCTTGTGAGTGGCGATTTGTACAATTTATAGCAGCGCACGACATCACATAAAGCTACAAGTTGAAGGCAATGACTAAAAATATAAAACTACAGAAAAAATAAGTGAGTGTTTACAACGAATTCATGCACAAGAAATACTTGCTCTGGAACTTCTGTCGTCTGACAAACCGATGGTGCATTTCCGCCAACTACTGGACTGGAGTGTAGACTAGAGAGTCAAGATGTGGTTGAACGAAAAAAGCACAGTAAGTATCATAAAAGTTATCCATATGACTGCGCTCTATTACATATCTTCTGAAGCAACAAAATGACTTTTCGTGAGGAACACACTGAAGTTGAATTAGTTAAATCACCCAGTTAAATCCTTCCCTCTACCTACCGTAGATCTCCTGCCATTATTTAACGAAACAGCGCCATCTAGTGACGGTTTGCCTTCACTGCAGCGCTGCTGCATTAGTTTCTTGTGTTCATTTCCGATATAAACATTTATAAAGACTAAATAGGACCCAGATTGCAGAAAAGATAATTCAAAGACTTTGACTTTCAAGATAGGGTTATAAATGTCCCATTACTCAGTAGAAAACTCTTTTAAGCTTAGTAATATAATGTAATAAAATTAGATTATTTCAAGACATTTTCTATCAAGTAGGCTACTTTTTATATGAAAAGCATCATAAATTATACATTAAAAACGCCGTTTTTCAAGATTTACGTATTTCAATTAATAGTAAAATTCCATAAAATGTAGTTGAATATTCATTACATGTTATTCATTATAATAAAGAATTCTAAATTAGTAAAAAAAAAAAAACTATATTTTGTAAAAACAATCTTGAACTTAAATTTAAACATATTTTCTTTTTTTACGTATGAATACGAATCACATAAACTAAATGGTTCATTCCCTTGTTCCAGATTTATTAAAAATGTTTTATTAAGCTCTAATTTTTCTGTATTTAAAATACTTAATAAAATGTAAGGATTGTTCAATTCAATTTGATGGAATTTTACTATTAATTGAAATGCGTACATATTGAAAAAGACTTACTGTTTTTAGTGTATCTTGATGTTTTCTTTAAGAAAAAAAAGCAGTGAAAAGAAAAATAACCCGATTATATTATGGGGGGGGAAAAACTGTCCTCTAAAATGGGCCAATTTATGAAATAATATTGTGATGGTCCCCTTCTTTAAATTGTTCAGATCATAGGCTACTGAAAAAGAATGCAAATCGAAACTTTGATACATTATATTTTGATTGTATCCATATTCACACACACAATCTCCACAAAGACACTCTTCGTGTCATTCTATGATATAAATAAAATTAGAAATAATCTAGTGGTTGTTTTGCTGTATACTGACTGTTCATTTACCTGAGCACATTTAATAGCCTATAATATTTATTAGAATAATTAGAATAATAATTACAATGACAGAAGAGACTTAATTTCCTTCTCAAACTAGGAAATGACCATTTTAATGCTCCTCTAACCGAAAACATCTTGTCATGCACGTTCACGTCAGGGTCACGAGGGTCATCTTTAAAGACCTTCAAACAAACAACTCCAGACTTCAGTGATGACATCAATTCCTGGATGGCAGCACGGCTCTAATTCCACTTCCACGCCGGATTTCTAAAACAGGGGTGGGGGGGGCTGGCAAATAGACAACAACACCGGATTGAGGAAATTGACGAGGGCATACTATGTGCAAAACAAACTTGTTTAAAGCTGACAGGCATGCAGCCCGAGCTGTTTCATTCACTGTCCCATCTAAGAAGAGAACAGCTCCTCCCTAGTGCACAGCATCCAGCGTGGGCTTCGCTATCACTTCAAGTCATGCGTTTGTACGCGATCCCAGTGTTCCTGATGATGGTGTTTGGAGGTGCTGACGCGTGGGGTCCCGGGGGTAAATACGCCGTCCACTGTCCGGACAGATGCTCCACCGCGCAGTGCGGCTCGACGCAGCGCTGTAGGCGCACGGTGCTGGATGACTGCGGGTGCTGTCAGGTCTGTGCTGCGGGACGGGGAGAGCACTGCTACCGCACCGTGTCCGGGATGCACGGCGTCAAGTGCGGACCGGGACTCTTCTGTGACTTCTACAAGGACGAGGATGATTATGGAGATGAATATGGCATCTGTAAAGGTACAGTCTGCTGTGTGCACCTGTTTAGGCAGATGGGATTGTGCATTGGGGGGAATTCACTTATTCAAAGTATTCAATGATTTTGTAATCAGTGATGTTCTCAGGATTAACACAATTGATTTTAATTGAAGTTAAAATCAAATGCAACTTTCAGAGCAAGAGAACACTTAAAAATGATTTAAATTAAGGTGACATGAAGACATAGAAAAATATTGAATTATTACTTTTCTCTCACCAAAGAGATGAATCACAGATCATCTCTTTATATAAATCAAATTATTGAATATATATATATATATATATATATGTATATTCAATAATTTGATTTATATATATATATATATAGTCTACTTACACTTAGGCCTACTTATCATCCATAATATATCTCATGTAAATTGAAGTTATCTATCTATCTATCTATCTATCTATCTATCTATCTATCTATCTATCTATCTATCTATCTATCTATCTATCTATCTATCTATCTATCTATCTCTATATAAATCAATTTACATGAGATATATTATACATTTTTTGCTAAATAATTGTAAAAAAATATGTATAAATGTGAATTTATATATATATATATATATATATATATATATATATATATATATATATATATATATATATATATATATAAATTATTATGTTCACAGATGTTCTAATGAAACACTGTTTATTTCAATTTAAGTTATGTTATAATATTTTCTTCTAAGATTTTGATGTTTTTATTATCATTCTATGTATTCCACGGTTTGGCAATATTGTATTATTTACAGTCCTGCCAATAAAGCCATTTTATATTTGAATTTATATATAAATCAAACCTTTAATATGTCTCCTATGGTCAATATAGTTTTCATAAAGGCTTTTTAAAAAAGAAGAATCATAAAGGAATTTCAAAACAATTTGTGTAGAAGAAACTATGTGTATGCAAGGAAAAAAATATTATTACAAAATTATTACAAAATCTTTATAATATATAATGTCTGTTAACTGTCCTCACAATTTCAGAATTGATTTTGAATTGCTTATGTGTCACACAGCTTCATCTCACCCGTTCAATGCAGATTTGTCTTTTTAGGATATTCAAATATTTACCAAAAGCCTCGTGGTTAACTGAAGGTTTTTGTGTGGTCTAAGGTCACAGGTTAAAGAACAGTTCAGCATACTAAAGAAAACTCACCCCAGAGTGTCTTTTCTGTGGAGTCCTTCTAGGGCCCCTCAAATTATCACTTAATGTATTATGTAAGAACAACGTGAGTTGGTGAATGAACACTTTGTATTAGTGGAACACGCTCCCTCCACACCAATTCCTCACACTCAGCCCTTTAATTGAGTCTTACCACGAGCGTTAGATGTAAGTGAGCCTTTCTGATCCTTTTACACTTTATACACAAATACTGGATCAGCAATGAGCAAACATCTTCAAAAAGAGAGTATTTGCCAATGGCAAGTGGAAAAGTCATGGCAAAATATTTACCTCCAGATTCTGTACTGGCTAAATTAGCTGTAACATGTCTTTTTTTCCTCTTATTAGAATGCATGTATGGGACGTACGGAATGGAATGTCGGAAAGCATGCAACTGTAAAGCAGGTGGACTGTGTGACAGAGAGACGGGCGCTTGTCTGTCCTTTAAATTCTTGGCTAAAATGGCCATGCTGAAATCTCATTCAAATGAAGGTGAGTTTATTGTTTATTAAAGTGCACAAAGTAAGTAATTTTGATAATACGTTTTTTAAAAATCACCTTTGATATGATGTGAAATTGTGTAGAATATTATTTGTATTAAATATTGTTTTAATCACATGACAGGTAATGAACTGGGCTCGGGTGACACGAACACTGAAACCAGCAGCAATCGGTCCTCCGCTCGCAATTTCCTCCCCCCTCGCTGACAGAAACTCACACTCTTCAGTTTAGTTAGTGTACATGTAGCATAATATATTCAAGGAGCAAACGGATATATTTTAATATGTTTAAAAGGAAGACGATATGTTTTATTCTGTATATTTTACAGATGTGTATGCCAGTTATGTATTTATTCCAAAGCATGTCACCATGAGTTCAAGTCACTTGCTCACACACACACACACACACACACACACACACACACACACACACACACACACACACACACACACACACACACACACACAGCTTTGTTTTTGTGATATATGAGGACATTCCATAGGCGTAATGACTTTTATACTGGACAAACTGTATATTCTATCCCCCTACACTGCCCCTATCCCTAAACCTACCCATCACAGGAGACATGCTGCATTTTTACATAAAAAAAACCCATTGTTTTTTATGTTTTTTAAGCTATTTGAAATATGAGGACACATGCAATGTCCTCATATATCACGTGTAAGTTGTAATACCAGTGTAATATGCATGTCATTATACACATTTGTGTCCTCATATATCACAAAAACAAACACACACACACACACACACACACACACACACACACACACACACACACACACACACACACACACACACACACACACACACACACACACATAAGGTTCATCCATTAGAGTTTAGTAACACAATAATAATGTTCCCTAAGCAACTCATTATGCTGAAACACTCAAATGAGATGTTCAAATGATGGTTGAACTGAATGAACACACACAAACACTTTTACATTATGAATGTATTACAATTAAACATGCAGTGTTTATATAATCATATTTAATGACAAACACATTCTAAGAGTACACACCAGGCTCAGTTCCAGGACTGATCAGCATTAGCATCAGTTATGACTTTAATATGCCATCACATATTTGACCTCATGGTCTCTGTAATGCTAAACAATGATGTTTTTAATGTGGTATATTAAGGCCAAGGAGATTATTATAATTTATGGACTGTTTATCCTTCTAATATGTTTGTAAATTATTATCTGTAAATCTTTGTTTTAAACCCCCATTGAAAGAGATAATATGAATTCTTACTGCCTTATGTATGAGATTTAAATTAAAACCATGTCATTCTGAGAAAAAATATCTTGGTTTATTTTGCCGTTTCTTTCTTTTCTTTTTTGTCAAGTGTTTAAAGTGGAATCTCTTTTTAGAATATTTTAAAAGTGTGAAAAAAAATCCAAAATGATAACTAATGTTTATATATACACACGTGCATGAACATACATTATATAAATATACATACACATATACACATGCACACATATACATACATACAGAATAATACAGTGGGGGAAATAATTATTTCACCCCCTGCTGATTTTGTAAGTTCGACTTACAAAGAATCATTTTTAAGTCTATCATTTATATGGTAGGTTTATTTTAACGGATAGAGACAGAATATCAACTAAAAAATCCAGAAAAACACATTATATAAAGGTTGTAAATTCATTAGCATTTGATCGAGTGAAATAAGTATTTGATCCCCAACCAACCAGCAAGAATTCTGCCTCCCACAGATTGGTCATGTGCCCATGTGGAACACAGATTAGTCCTGTCACTTTAAGAAAGTACTCCCAATGTCCTAATGTCAGTGGACACATGTCCACAGAATCTGTATCTTCCATTCCAACCACTCCACCACCATGAGCAATACCAAAGAGCTGTCAAACGTCAGGGACCAGATTGTAGACCTGCACAAGGCTGGAATTGGCTTCAAGACCATCAGGAAGACGCTTGGTGAGAAGGAGACTTTTGTTGGTGTGATTATTCAGAAATGGAAGAAATACAAAATGAAAAATCATCCCCCTCGGTCTGTAGCTCCATGCAAGACCTGGCCTCATGAGGTACGGATGATCATGAGAAAGGTGAGGGATCAGCCCAGAACACGGGAGGAGCTTGTTAATGATCTCAAGGCATTTGGGACCACAGTCACCAAGCAAACCACTGGTAACACACTACGCCGCAATGGATTGAAATCCTGCAGCGCCCGCAAGGTCCCACCGCTCAAGAAGGACTTGTTCAAGCCCATCTGAAGTTTGCCAATGAACATCTAATGATTCAGAGAAGGCTTGGGAGGAAGTGCTGTGGTCAGATGAGACCAAAATTGAGCTCTTCTGCATCAACTCAACTTGCCATTTTGGAGGAAGAGAAATGCTGACTTTGACCCCAAGAACGGTGGAAACATCATGCTTTTGGGCTGTTTCTCTGCTAAGGATAGGCTTCACCGTGTTGAGGGGCTGATGGACGGGGCCATGTACCGTCAAATCTTGGACGAGAACCTCCTTCCCTCAGCCAGAACACTGAAGATGGGTCTTCCAGCATGACAATGACCCAAAACATACCGCCAAGACAACAAAGTAGTGGCTCAAGAAGAAGCACATTAGGGTCTTGGAGTGGCCTAGCCAGTCTCCAGACCTAATCCTACTGAAAATCTGTGGATGGAAATGAAACTTCGAGTTGCCAAGCGACAGCCAAGAAACCTTAAGGATTTAGAGAGGATCTGAAAGAGGAGTGGACCAAAATCCCTCCTGAGAAGTGTGCAAACCTGGTGACCAACTACAAGAAACGTCTCACCTCTGTGCTTGCCAACAAAGGTTTCTCCGCCAAGTACTAAGGCATGTTTTGCTCGGGGATCAAATACTTATTTCACTTACTGAAATGCAAATCAATTTATAACCTTTATATAATGTGTTTTTTCTGGATTTTTTGGTTGATATTCTGTCTCTATCCGTTAAAATAAACCTATAAAAATGATAGACCCTTCATTTCTTTGTAAGTGGGCAAAGTTACAAAATCAGCAGGGGAGCAAATAATTATTTCCCCCACTGTATACTGTATATATATATATATATACACACACACACACAGACATCACATACATACACTCACCTAAAGGATTATTAGGAACACCTGTTCAATTTCTCATTAATGCAATTATCTAATCAACCAATCACATGGCAGTTGCTTCAATGCTTTTAGGGGTGTGGTCCTGGTCAAGACAATCTCCTGAACTCCAAACTGAATGTCAGAATGGGAAAGAAAGGTGATTTAAGCAATTTTGAGCGTGGCATGGTTGTTGGTGCCAGACGGGCCGGTCTGAGTATTTCACAATCTGCTCGTGGGATTTTCACGCACAACCATTTCTAGGGTTTACAAAGAATGGTGTGAAAAGGGAAAAACATCCAGTATGCGGCAGCCCTGTGGGCAAAAATGCCTTGTTGATGCTAGAGGTCAGAGGAGAATGGGCCGACTGATTCAAGCTGATAGAAGAGCAACTTTGACTGAAATAACCACTCGTTACAACCGAGGTATGCAGCAAAGCATTTGTGAAGCCACAACACGCACAACCTTGAGGCGGATGGGCTACAACAGCAGAAGACCCCACCGGGTACCACTCATCTCCACTACAAATAGGAAAAAGAGGCTACAATTTGCAAGAGCGCACCAAAATTGGACATTGAGACATTCAGATGGTAGAGTCAGAATTTGGTGTAAACAGAATGAGAACATGGATCCATCATGCCTTGTTACCACTGTGCAGGCTGGTGGTGGGGGTGTAATGGTGTGGGGGATGTTTTCTTGGCACACTTTAGGCCCCTTAGTGCCAATTGGGCATTGTTTAAATGCCACGGCCTACCTGAGCATTGTTTCTGACCATGTCCATCCCTTTATGGCCACCATGTACCCATCCTCTGATGCTACTTCCAGCAGGATAATGCACCATGTCACAAAGCTCGAATCATTTTAAATTGGTTTCTTGAACATGACAATGAGTTCACTGTACTAAAATGGCCCCCACAGTCACCAGATCTCAACCCAATAGAGCAGCTTTGGGATGTGGTGGAACGGGAGCTTCGTGCCCTGGATGTGCATCCCACAAATCTCCATCAACTGCAAGATGCTATCCTATCAATATGGGCCAACATTTCTAAAGAATGCTTTCAGCACCTTGTTGAATCAATGCCACGTAGAATTAAGGCAGTTCTGAAGGCGAAAGGGGGTCAAACACATGGTGTTCCTAATAATCCTTTAGGTGAGTGTATATACACTCACCGGCCACTTTATTAGGTACACCTGTCCAACTGCTCGTTAACACTTAATTTCTAAGCAGCCAATCACATGGCGGCAACTCAGTGCATTTAGGCATGTAGACATGGTCAAGACAATCTCCTGCAGTTCAAACCGAGCATCAGTATGGGGAAGAAAGGTGATTTGAGTGACTTTGAACGTGGCATGATTGTTGGTGCCAGAAGGGCTGGTCTGAGTATTTCAGAAACTGCTAATCTACTGGGATTTTCACGCACAACCATCTCTAGGGTTTACAGAGAATGGTCCGAAAAAGAAAAAACATCCAGTGAGCGGCAGTTCTGTGGGCGGAAATGCCTTGTTGATGCCAGAGGTCAGAGGAGAATGGCCAGACTGGTTCGAGCTGATAGAAGGGCAACAGTGACTGAAATAACCACTCGTTACAACCGAGGTATGCAGCAAAAGCATTTGTGAAGCCACAACACGCACAACCTTGAGGCGGATGGGCTACAACAGCAGAAGACTCCACCGGGTACCACTCATCTCCACTACAAATAGGAAAAAGAGGCTACAATTTGCAAGAGCTCACCAAAATTGAACAGTTGAAGACTGGAAAAATGTTGCCTGGTCTGATGAGTCTCGATTTCTGTTGAGACATTCAGATGTTAGAGTCAGAATTTGGCGTAAACAGAATGAGAACATGGAACCATCATGCCTTGTTACCACTGTGCAGGCTGGTGGTGGTGGTGTAATGGTGTGGGGGATGTTTTCCTGGCACACTTTAGGCCCCTTAGTGCCAATTGGGCATCGTTTAAATGCCACGGCCTACCTGAGCATTGTTTCTGACCATGTCCATCCCTTTATGGCCACCATGTACCCATCCTCTGATGGCTACTTCCACCATGTCACAAAGCTCTAATCATTTCAAATTGGTTTCTTGAACATGACAATGAGTTCACTGTACTAAAATGGCCTCCACAGTCACCAGATCTCAACCCAATAGAGCATCTTTGGGATGTGGTGGAACGGGAGATTCGCATCATGGATGTGCAGCCGACAAATCTGCGGCAACTGTGTGATGCCATCATGTCAATATGG